ATTGACATGTGAAACAAACTTGCTTCAAATTTAAATTTAAAAAAATTAAAAAAAAAAAATGTTTCCCAGTTGGCTCCCTGCATCTTCAAGTTCTACATCTGGAACAGAAGATATTACAGCAAATTTGCATCTGTAAATAGGCATGTATAGACTTTCTTGTCATCACTCCCTATCAGTATAATAACTGTTTACATATTGTTTGCATTGCATTAGGTATTTTAAGTATTTTTAAACCATTCAAAGTATATGAGAGGTGTGAATGGGTTGTATGCAAATATTGTGGCATTTTATGCAAATGATTTCAGCATCCTTGGGTTTTGGTGCAATCGATAGATCCCAGAACCTTGCAGATTCTCGGTTTTAGTGTCTCATGTCCAAAATAGTTCCATTTTGTTATTTACCAATATTTTTAATTGTTACTGAAACACTTCACATTTTAATATTAATTCATAATATCCTTGAACTTTGGTATGCACTTTGAATTTACAGTGCATCTCAATTTGGACTGACCAAGTTTCGAATACATCTCTGTATTTGATAGGACAGACCTAGACTTTGACATGCCAGGCCTTAACCTGTGCAGGTGCTTCAGATGGGACCAGCAGCCAAAGGCTTAGGAATACTGTCTGGAAACAGCATTCCATCTGGACATCCATGGTTTGAAACACTTGCAGGAAAATAACAAGAGCAAAGGCGCCATCGTAAGTAAAATGAGAGAGGGCCTCACCATGGTATAGCCAATGCACTCTGGAAGCTCATTCCTCCTCCATCCACAGTTCTCCAAGCTGCCTGTTCACTGGATTCTAACGAGGTTTGGGGAGGGAGGGTGTCTGTCTCCACCTTCATGTCCCTGAACCACCACATCCCAAATCTGTATCTATGCCCTTGGCCCAGCTCTGCACATGACAACCCCAGATACCCTGACACTATGGACTTCTCTTCCATTTGCCTTTTCTGCTACAGTCCATACTTAGAATGTGTTCAAACCCCACTCTCAAAACAGTGTCAAGAATCTAACCAACTCCCACTATCTCTCCTCTTATCTTTTTTGCGGCAAGCCACCGTCACCCCCGGCTCACTTTGGCACAAGCTCCAAAGCCTCACTCTTTCCTTTTCTTCTTCTTCTTTATTAACTTTTTCCTTCTGCATTAATTTTTTCATTTATTTTGCGTCGTGACTGCTTTCTTCCAGTCCCCCCCCACCTCTCCTCAGCGCCCCTCCCCATCCACTCCTTCTGGGTTTCTGTGCAGAAAGGGGCAAGCCTCCCACGGGAGTCAACAAAGCATGGCCTATCAAGTTGAGGTAATACTAAGATCCTCCCTTTCTCTTTCCTTTGCTTCCCACAATCTCTTCTCCAGATAAGAACCAAAGCAACCCTGTTACAACTTGCCAAGGCTCTTCAACAACAGAACAAAACTTCTTGCTTAATAACCTTGAGATGGTATAAAGTAAAAACCACTTAGGAGTCAATCTAGGCAAAACACACACTGCTTTTAAGAGAAAAAGGTGTCAGTTTTACTGGAATATTTTTAAGTATCTACTTAAGTAGAGAGACAAACCGTGTTCGAGAGCTGTGAGTTATCTTCATAAAGACAATACTTCCCCCTGAATTCTGTTTTCATTCAAGCATGAACATTGCTTTTCTGTTGAGCTCAATAAGCTGATTCTAAAATTTACGTGAATGAGAAAAGTACTAAAAAATAAAAAATAAAAATGGCAAGATTTTTTCCAGATATGAGGGTTTATAATAAACCTTCAGTAAATAATGTTGCTCAGTATTGGGAATGATAGACAAATTGACAAAACAGCCATAAACAGAGCCATGCATGAACGGTGACCTACCTCACTGCAGAGCTGTGGCCTTTATAATGAATGTAACCAAGACCCTTGGCTAGCCACATGGGGAAGCCAGTGATCATTTACAAACGACTGGAACATAGAAATGGGAGAATCTGGGGTAGAGAAGGGGAAATGGGAATCTCAGGATGTGGACATGGGGCAGGTTCACAATGGACTTGAGTGGAAAGCATCAACTGATACATTGACAATGCTATCCAAACTGAGGGCTCAGGGAAACCATGGGAGAGGGGAGATTGTAAGAGCCAGAGGCCCAGGATGCCTGTGCTAATTAGTTTCCCTGGGCATGACAGGGAACACACATACATGAATCTCAACAATACAGTTGCCTGAACAAGACCAGAATGATGGTGACATCAGTTGACATGCCAACATAGACAGGGAAAATTCCATGTTGTTCCATCCCTACAAGAAGAGCCGTAGTGTAGTGGTCGATGGCTCTGAGAGAGAGAGAACCGTTTCCTCCAGGGACGCAGCTCACTCATAGGATGTCCAATCCCAAGTGATCAGCCCTGGACACATGTACATTATAGGTAACATTAAATGGACTATGCAGGTTATATACACCTGTGTACATATTTACACACACACACACACACACACACACACACACACACACATATATATATATATGCAGCAATAATAAAGAAGGGGTCATAGATTTGGGAAAGTGAGACACAGAAGGGGTTTGATGGGAAGGTAAGAATGATGTAAATATGACACTCACAAAAATCTCAAAAAATAAAGTTGAAGAACAATAAAAAAAAAAAGTATCTTAACTCCCACTTCACACTGAACTGAACAGCTGATTTCCAAGTAGATAAAGGACTAAAAAATGAAAGGCTATGGTATTGTTAAATGTTGGTGAAAATGTGGACCAAAAGCAGTTCTGCCACATTGCTGCTGGTGAGATGTTCCACACTGCAGATCTACAGGCACCACACCTTTGGATCCAGCCATACATGGGGCGAACACATGTAGGTAACATGCAGATACTATACCAATTTGTAGAATGGCCTTGGGCATCTGCAGATCTGAGTTGGGTGGGGAACCTTTGAAACAGTCTTCAGAGTGCACACTGAGGCTGTGTTTACCTGTGACCCATGCCATCTCTAGAATATACAATTTAGAGCAATTCTTACACATACTCTAGCATAATATACAAGAATAACCACAGCAGCACTGATTTTAATAGAAAAAAACTAGAAATATCTCATGTGCCTGTGAGCAGAATCCCAGAGAACTATGTTCATGTGGTAGAATGCTACATGGAATTCGATATTAACAAATTAAAGGGATGTGCAGCAATATAAATTTCAAAACCAGCTTTGAGGCAAGTAAGCAAGTCTTCAATAATATTTCATTCAGGTTGAGAGATGGCTCAGAGGGTAAAAATGTCTGCTATGTAAACACATTGACCCGAGTTCAGTTTCCTAGCTCCCACATAAAGGCTGGTACAGCACACAGATCTGTACTTGTGGATCTGGGAGGCAGAAATAGGCAGATCTCCTGGGCTTGCTGAATGGCCAATCTATTCAAAAGGGCATCTCTGGGTTCAGAGACCTTGTCTCAAACATTAAGATGGAGAGCAGTAAAGAGAGACATGTGATATCAAAGTCTACCCACCATATGAGCATGCACAGGGAAGTGTGCCTGCACACACATGCACATATAAATTATACTTCAGGCTAATAACGTTCAAGAATGCATAAAGCGAAACCACATATTGTCTTGGTTACTTTTCTGTTGCTGTGATAAAACACCTTGACCAAGACAACTTATAAAAGAAAGCAGCTAATTCGGGGCTTACGGTTCCAGAGGGTGAGAGTCCATGATGCCAGAGCAGAGGAATGGTGGCAGGAATACCTGACAGGTTAAGGTCATCTTAAGATGCAATCAGCAGGCAGAGACAGACACACACACTAGAAACAGACTGAGACTTTAGGAACCTTAAAGAAGCCCCTGTAATTCACCTTCTCCAACAAGGTCACACCTCCTAATCCTTCCCAAGCAGTTCCACCAACTGGAACAGAGTATTAAAATATATGAGCCTAAGAAAGGCATTCTCATTCAAACACCACACATTACTAAACAATTCAGAGAGTGGGGGAAAGCAGAGATAAAGGGAAAGGAACAGTGGAAACCAAACTGGGACAACAGCTGTCTCTGAAGAGAAAAAGGATGGATGCACAAAGCCCCCCCCAAAAGCGATGCTCTTTAATAACAAAACACAGGTGTCAGCACATGGGATCTAGTTATTTTCTTAACCCTCTGCTCTCTGTACTTTGTCTAAGTCGTTCCTCTATCTACTCAATGTTGAAAATGCTCCTGGGGTGGGGAATGGTTCAGCTGTTAGGGGCACTGGCTGCTCTTCTAGAGGACTAGGATTCAGTCCTCAAAACTCACATGGTAGCTAGTGCACAAGCATCTGTAACTCCAGCCCCAAGGTATCTAACGCCCCCTTCTGACGTCTGTGGGTACTGCTTGCAGGTGGTCCACAGACATGCATGCAGTCTAAACAAAACAGTAAAATATTTTTTTTTAAGAAATAAAGAAAAGAAAATTCTTCCAGGCCTGTAGGAGTTCATATTAGACACCCTGGATGGACAGACAGGAAGATCTTCCCACATTTGAGCCCACACCTACCTCACTGATTAGTCCCCAGCATGCCCCTCACCCCATGGCCTCCAGGCCTCCTTCCCGAAGGCTTTTAAGAGCAATTCTCAGAAACCACAGGGCAGGCTGGGTTCCTTCAGTCTCCTTTCAGCAGACATGTGCCCTCCCTGTCCTTCCTGTACACTGACCTCCAACCTACTTCATGTGACTGCATAGGACACCACAGGCCCCTGTCCCTTAATTGTCCCTTTATCAGTTTTGGGTGTTCACTGAACAATTAAATGGATGGACATGCAGACGATTACACTAAAATTTAATCATTCCCAGAAAAGATAGTACACAATGCCCTAGTTATCGCTTCCAGAGAGACTGGGACAAAGGATACACTTCCAGTTCTAGAAGGCTGGATTTAGGAGAAGAGAACAATCCTCAGTGAACCAGTGTTCCTGTTTATGCAGAAATGCTGGCATTCAAAGGTTGGATGTGACAGTTCAGGTAGGAAATGAGGCCTAAAGATGTCTACTTACCAGATCCTGGGGCAGGCAAGAGTGGGGCTAGCTAAGGACATACTAGGTCTGCCCAGCTGTCCTGGAGGCCAGTGTGGATGTCACCCTTCAGAAGCTACAGAGGAACAGAGGGGAGTGTGTCAGCCAGTGTCCCCTCTCTATGACATGTGGCACAGGTCTGACCTAGTTTCCCCGTGCAAGGCTCGAAGTCCTCAGCAGAGCCCAAAGAACAGATGTAACCTGTGGCCAGAGAGTACAGAATGAGCAGGTCCTGGTCGGCAAGTGGTAAAACCTGTGACACAGGCACTGATCGCAGGGCCTTCCCTGGCCACTCACTTCCTGCCACTCAGCCCTCCTTCTCCCTACCACCCCAGACTCAGACTAGGTACCCACGGTCACAGTTGGCTATGCAGAAGCCAGTGGGTATCCTACCACACAACAAACAGCCCCCACTAGGCTGACCTGTCTCGTCCAAGTGCAGAAAGACGTACCTGGACGCGAGGCATTCAAAGGCTGCTGATGTCACAGGGTGTGGGTGATTCTATCCCCCGCCTCCAATGCCTCAGCTCAGGGGAAGAGAAGACCTGGCCTCACATGGCAGCCATCAACAATGTTTCACTATGAATCACTTGTACTGGGTTTCTCTTCATTTCCTGGAGAAAGCAGAAGTGGGAAGTCTGCAGATGCCTGCCCTGCTCACCCCAGCCAATGGCGGAGTCGCTTCACTGATGACTGGCAGGGCAACTTGGGTTTCACGTAAAGGTCCTGTGGGACTGCGTGCTTGGTGGTCAAGCAAAGGGAAAGTAGAGGTGACTGCCCACATCTGAATTCCGTCTCTGCTGGTTACGAGGTCTGTGCCCAGCAGGCTCTGGTCCATGTGGCTGCCCAGTCCTAACCTCACCTTCCCAAGGCTCAATTTCAAATCCCCAGGAACTAAAGTTGAATAGTCTCTCTTCTCCAAACCATTACGGTACGGGAGCAGACATGTGGAGCGCCAATATGGAAGAATGGCTGGCTATCTAGCTGGGCGTCGGTAGCGCACACCTTTAGTCTCAGCACTCGGGAGGCAGAGGCAGGCAGATCTCTGTGAGTTCCAGGCCAGTCTGGTCTACAGAGCGAGTTCCAGGACAGGCTCCAAAACTACAGAGAGACCCTGTCTCGAAAAACCAAAAAAGAATGGCTTTCTAGCCATTTCCAGCAGAGCCCTTGAAATCTCCACTGGAAGGGGAAGACTGGGTTGGAGCAGAGGCTTAGAGAAAGTCAGAAATACCCCTGTAGGTAAGCCAGGCACTCAGGGAAGTAAGAGAGGCAAAGGCAAGGGCTGATGAGGGCAGGAGTGTGAAGTTCAGAAACACACGCGAGAGAAAGTGGGTGTTCTCCTGACAGCGTGTTCCTTGCCAGTGACCTACCGGATGAGCAGGATGACGTGGGACAGCGGGAAAAGGGCAGGGCCCGGAGCACTGACTCTAATTTTGATGTTGCTGCCTTGTGTGTTTAGAACTTACCAAGCTCCGATAACTCCACCTTTTCCCATGGGGGAAATGATGATGTGGTGTTTCACAGCTGTGCTCGGCAAATGCGTCAGGCCCAATGCCATGCACCCACTAGGGAGCAGAGTGACCCCTTCCAGGGGTGGGCACATGGAAGGAAAACACACTTGGGCTCTTCATGGTCAAAGTCCTGAAAGTCAAAACCAAGGTTACCCAAAGAGCAGTGGGTGGGAAAAGAAACACTACAGGAAGCAACTTAAAATACAACTGAAGCTGATGTTGTGTCGGAAACAACAGAATTCTGAAGGCAGTGGAGGTTTGTGCATCTCAGAGTGTTGACTGGTTGGACCTTGTGCAAGTCTTAGGAAGGGAGCCACGGCTGTTGTGACTTAATGAGTACCGTAGTCCTCTATTGTCCAATGACACTGTTTGACCATGGTCCTACATGACCTCTACTCATAACCTTTCCACCCTCCCTTCCATGATATTCTCTGAGCTACTGACAGTCTGCAGTGCTGCTTCAGGAAGGGAGTCAGTTCTATCTGGAGGGAAGGTCCCTGGTAGGCTGGCCATACCCTGGTGGATGCTCCCGCAGCTCTGAGTATACGGGCAGCACTTATCAGACTCAGTTATTAAAAATTTAAGGGTCTGGGGAGATGATGATTCAGCAGTTAAGAGCACTGACTGTTTTTCCCGAGGTCCTGAGTTCAAATCCCAGCACCCATATGGCAGGTAGCTCACAACTGTCTGTAACTCCAGTTCTGAGGGACCCGAAACCCATGGCAAAACACTAATGCACATAAAATAAAATAAATAAGGATGAAAGAAAAAAAATAAAAGGTAATCGTGACGTGAATGAGGTAAGAAATTAACTCCAGGAAAAGCTGGAGGGGGATGGAGAAGATGGAGATACATTGTATGCATATATGAAATTTTGAAAAATAAATGTTTTAAATTGTAGGAAAATAAAAACTTAGAAGACAGTGGAAATATACCTTTAACCTCCTGAAGAAAAAATAGCAAAACAAAAACAAAAAACAAATAGAAAGAGAAAAGAAGAGTGAGTTAGCCTATTTACTCTGTAGCCAGTGAAGGAAACTAAACATAAAGTGGTTATTTTTCAGATAAGTGAGAGCTGGACCACTCATCTCCAGGAGGCTTGCACTAAGAATCCCAAGGACATTCTTGAAGCTAAGGGAGGAAGTCTCTAAAGAGGAAGGAGAGCAGATTAGGACTCGAATCTTGTCCCAAACTGGAGAGACCTGTGTTCCAATCCTCTCCCATGATGCTCTACAGGAAGTAGAGCTCCCCATCAGCCACGAGGGGAATGACGCAGGCAGGCCACAGCGTGTTGTGACCTGAACATTTTCAGATACAGATACTTGATAAATCTCGTGAATTATTCAGTTCTTCAGCGTGGATAGGCTTTGTGTGTGTTCTGGACAAAAGTAAGTGTCCTGAGCCTGTGAGAACAAACTAAGAGCTGGGGGCTGGGGACAGGGCGCAGTGGGTAGGGCTTGGTGTACAAGCAGGAGCATTTGAACTCGGATCCCCAGAACCTATGTAAAAACCGGGTGTAGCAGAGCACACCTGCCACCTCGGCTGACTTATAAACTAAAACACGTGAATTCTACACATTATGTAGTAGCGTACAGAACAAAAAGTAAGATTTAAAATTGCTACTGCCAAGTGAGTGGGCACAGCATCACAGCATTTTCTCCGTGTTTGCCATAGTTTGTGTCTTGTGTCTCATTGTTTTTGTTAAAGCTTTGGAGTCAGGGTCTATATTCTGCTCTGTAACCTGGGTTTCCTGGAGTTGTTTTACTGGAAGGGGCCACTAAAGCCTCGGTTTCTCTCTCTCCAGAGACTCCCTGTCCTCTTTAAACACCCCCTGTGCCTGGCCCTATGCAGTGCTAGCATCTCATCTGTCTTTGCCAAGTTCGTCACTCACACCCCCTGGGACTGAAGCACCATGCACAGACACACACGTGTCCTGGAAGATCAGTTCCTTTGGGGAAGTGGGGAGGACACGACTGAAGCTCCAGTTTAATTCCTGAATGCCTTTACAGTGCCTCACTGCTCATGTGGCACTGGGAGAAATGGGGTCTGCATGGCTTAGGTTTTTGTCAATTTGACACAAGCTGGAGTCATCTGAGAAGAGGGAAGCTCAGTTGAGAAAATGCCCCCATCTGATTGGCCTTGCACCGATTGATGTGGAAAGGTCCAGCCCACTGTGGGTGGTGTCATCCCCTGGCAATTAGGTGTATAAGTAAACAGGTGAACAAAGCCAGGGAGAGCAAGCCAGGAAACAGCACTCCCCCATGGTCTCTGCTTCAGTCCCTGCATCCAGATCCCTGCCTTGAGTCCTTGCCTTGGCTGCCCCTGATGATGGGCTGTAACCTGTAAGCCAAACAAGCCATTCCTTCCCCCCAAGTTGCTTTTGGCCATGTGTCTTATCACCACAATCAAAGCCAACTAGGACAGGGTCCTACCAAAAGGGCATCAGGAAATCTATGGTAACCACAATGAGGTTATAGGAGGAGCTGGCTTCAAAGGGGGCATGTGGGCAAATAAAGCTCTTTCAACAGCATGGATAGCCATAACGAAAATTACGGCACCTTTGTAGTGAGATATCCACTCACACACCCCACACCTGTTGCACTGACCACGTCCATTGGGGTGCAGGGACCGGTGTGGGCATGACCAAGGGGGGACTAGGTCTGGGGTCCTGGACCCCAGCACTCTCTCTTGCTTCCTGCTCAGAAACAGAGAGCATCCGGAGGCATTCTTGGGATGGGAATCTGCTGTGGTCATCTGTTTCTGGTGTAAGTGATTTCTCCCCAAATAAACATCCATCAGCATATCATTTTTCATATTCTTACTTACCATATCACACACCTTTGTCAAAAATCAATTGACCTGCATGGCTTTATTCTGAGCTCTATCCCTTTCCACTGGTGGCTGTAACTGTTTCCACACCAGCTGTCTTTGGGTCCACTTCAAGATTTTTGCATGATTCTGTGAAGAATCGCATTGGAATTTTGACAGTGTATATATTGGGTCTAGACATAAACTATAAAACTAAAGCATCAAATATCTGTACAACCGAACACAAAGACTTCCTAGAGAAGACATGGAAAGCAAGAGCCAGGAGCAAGAGGCTGGTGCATCTGGCTTCATCCAAATCTGTTTTCTTCTCACTGAAAGAAGACATTGCTAGGAAAGGAAAACACACTATCTGATCAAGGAAGTACCAGAACACAACAGATCTCCGGTGTGGGGGGCTGGGGGAAGGGGTAGCCCAGAGTCAGAGAGCTGGCCCAGCATGCACAGAGCTCTGGATTCCAGCCCCATCAAGGATAAGGAAGAAGAGGGGAGGAGCAGGAAGAGGAGAAGGAAGAGAGGAAGAGGAAAAGACGAGAAAGAAGAAGAGAAGGAGGAAAAAGAGGAGGAGAAGGGAAGAGCTTGTCACCAAACAAATTAATAATCAAAAGATAAACAACTTGGGTCAGCAAAATGGCTCAGTGGGTAGAAGTGCTTGCCAGGCTGAGTTCAATCCCCCAGAACCCATGGGGAAGGAGAAAACTGACTCCCAAAAGTTGTCTTCTGACAGTCAC